ATGTCTGGAATATATTAAAGAACATTGACTACATTTGAAAATTGTACTGTGTTAATTTCAAAGAGCATATTATTTCTTTTTAATGAGTTAAAGTAAATGTGCATATTTCATAGTAATTGTTCTGTCACAAAACACATGCGAACAGGATGTTGGCACAGTGACTGCTCTGCACGTCCTTGCAGAACGAAAAATAACTGGATAGTTGTGCAAGTGTCCGTGACGTATGCAAATCTACACGTCTATTGCGTTCCATCTCACAGATCCTCTATCAGGTTAGGAACCAGAGCGTTGGGAGGCCTTTTGGCAAGACCTTGAGGTTTCAGTTCAGAAGGAAGTCAGCAGTGAAGCTACCTGCGTGTAGTTTAGCTTTGCCATGTTGAAACAACTCCCGGTATCGGTTGTAATCGAAAGAAGGTGACGTAGAAGAGATTTTACCATGTACCGATTTCCTGTCCGATTACCAAGAACCACAAGCAAGTCAGATCACCGTGTGAAGAACACGATCACAGTCTTTATTCACGGTATTGGAGAGAAATCGTTATTCATTCTGGACAGACATAACCGCATGTTTGTGACAGTGAGACGTTTCCATGCAGGGATAAATACCAGTCTTCTGAGTCCAATTTCCACTTCTTGAAGACACTTCCTGATGTTTTGCCCTAATACCCGTCAAAACAAGGAACTTGTCATACTGTGCCGGTGGCATGCTGGTGACATAGATGTGCGACAGATGGAGTGATCTTCAGTGGAGGAGATAACTCTTGGTCTACCACGTTTCATACGCTTTGTACATGTGTATTCTGTATTCTTGGAATTCTCCCAAAGCCAATATGTCATTGTCACTGAACAAGATTGTTTCAACCTACACGTGCATTCTGCATTAAATTTCATTCACATAAAATGTTCGTTTTAGAAAAATTATTGCATAAAACTGCAAAACTAAAAACTTTTCGCACTACACCGGTTAACGAACATGCGACCAACTGTGTTAAAACATATTGCATTTGTACAGAATGTTTTCTGAATAAAGAAAAAATGACATTCTCAATATTAATTCTTTTCTTTTTTTAATATATGTGAATTTTGAATCTTCGTGGAAATGACTTGAAATGATTTGTTTGCCGAAACAGAACTGGCCTGAAGTCAGCTTTCAATACTGAGGGCGACTAACAGGATCCTGCGGACAACCAGTTCTCGCTGACTTGGCTGATGCGTGTTATCGTAACCAAGTTGGGTAAGTCGATGTACACATCGATGTTCTTGTTGTCGTGGGATTGTCTGCTTCAGACAATCGATTATTTAGACTTCCACCATGTAGCAGCAAAATAAACAAACATTGGCGAAGCATACTTAACGTTTGGGCAGGCTAATCAAATAGAGTATTCACAAGGTAATCAATGTGTGACGTGAGGTGAGGTGAGGTGAAACTGGGTTTTACGTCGTGCTTGAGAATATTTCGCTCATATGACGACGTGCATGCGTGTGTATGTGTATGTGCGGCTGCTTGTACTAGCCCAGACTTAAGCTGGTTTTATAGTGCTAGCCCACTGAGATACCATGCCACAGTGAAGCATGAATACCCCACTCAGACACATTATACTGACTCCGAGCCGACCAGTCCTTGTTGTACCCATTAATGCCGAGCGCCAGGCAGAGACCAACAAGTACCATATTTTAACGTCTTTTGGTATGACACGGTCGGGGATCGAACCCGCGATCTTCCGCACTCCGGGCGGACGCTCTAACCACTACACCACGGAGGGTAATCAATGTGTATGCACATATAGCTGATCTACAGCAGTTGACATAAAATAAATTCTGGTGGTGTTTACGTGACATCAAATTCGATACTTTAAAGGAATTTTCTATGCGCGAATTAATACCATCGTAGCAACAAGCTCTGTATGCCTTTAAACAAGAAAACAACATTGAGTAATTAAACATGTTCAGACATCCAACCCACATCACCGTGCTTCATCTTTGATATTAACGTTTCCCCTGTTCCAAATGGTTCAGGGGGCGGTGGGGTAGTCTAGTGGTTAAAGCGTTCGTTCGTCACGCCGAAGAACCGGTTTCGATTCCCCACATGGGTACAATATGTGAAGCCCATTTCTGATGTCCCCCGCCGTGATATAGCTAGAATATTGCTAAAAGCGGTGTAAAACTAAACTCACTCACTCCCTCCAAATGGTTCAGGGACAATCTTGATGTATGAACATGACCTGTGGTCAGTAGGTGCGATTTACACCAAAGGATCCTTGAAATGCAAGGGACACAACTGTGATTTTCGTTTAACGAAATCTCTAATGAACTGGATTCCTAACAAAGTATGCACTCTCCCAGGTAATAACATTCATTTGCAGATAGGGCACAATGATTGATGTAATCTAAACTGGACAAATAAACAGTTGGGCAATGATCTGCATATAGAATGCGTAAGTGAGTGAGGAAGTGTGATTTTACATCGCTTTTAGCAATATTTCAACAATAGCACGGCAGAAGACACAGCAAATGGGCTTCACACATTCGAACCCGTGTCTTCGGCTCAACGAGCGCACCCTTTAACCACAAGGCTAGCCCACCACCACTCCTGAGCATAAATGGATACAGTAACTGAAACACTTGAACAGCCTGATTCTTTTATCGTCGGCATGAATACAGGTTTTTTAAAAAAAATATGCCAATCAAAACTAGGTGGGCATAACTGGATCTTTCAAGAATCGCATAACTTCCCGAATCCGTTCAGCATGTAAGATGTTTGGTACCTCATACGTACATTTTCAAAGAGATGACCATTCAGATCTTGGTTCAGCCAACGGCCGGCAGCCGTCCTGATCGCTTTACACTTTGGTATTAGGTTCTGCTGGGTGAGACCATTAATTTTGTTCCATCTCTCAACTTCGAAATGCACCCTTCCACCTTGGGAGAGCCACTCGTTGTAGATGGTGACGGTTGTGTCCGGGAACGCCGCTCCCCAAAGCAACACGTTACACACAAGCAGCAGCAGCATTCTGCAATGAAGTAATGACATATCAGACCACTATCTTGAGCTTTAAATTGTCCTGTTCAAGGCTGTAATCTACATGTGAAAGAAGCGGGTGACTCATCAAAATATGGCAGATAAACGTAGACAACGTAACTGATAAGAAAATGTGTCATAGACAAAACAAAATAACAATCTGAAATAGTCAACCGACAAACTGTGAGTGGTCTGAAAGTTTGTGATCTGTTTTATTTCTTTACAAGACCAGTCAGAGATTCAGGTTAGAATAATGGTATTCCACGACTCATGCTTGTCGCTGGAGTCAAGATAGAAAATGATGGGTGACCAGGCATCCTGACTTGGTTGATACGTATCATGATATCCCAGTTGGGTAGATCGATGCTCATGATGTCAATCACTGGATAGCTTGATTACTTACATACCGTCGACACGTAGGTTGAATGTTGTTGTGTGCTGCGTTAAACAACAAAATGGCAAATACACTTTCTGCACAGTGGATTTGGGAAGGACTTATAGCAAACCGTCTATATTTGGTTTTATATCCTACAGGACTCGGGAGTTTTAGACATGCTGCCACACTACATTCCTGCCACAGCTAACAGTGGAATCCAAATTCTCCAACCTATCTAACCTAATCCCATCGTGAATACAAAGTTGGCATATCTTCTTGTGCTATCTGGTAAAGTAGAGCAAAACCGTGACAAGATTTTGGTCCCATGGTTTACGCCAAACAGCTGTTAGCACATTAACTCGGTAGCAATTCTGGATGAACTCAGCACCATGCAGTAACATGTACATGACCGCATATGGAACGTGTATTCAGGCTTGGTGGCTTGGGGCCTTGTGTGTCACTCGTGGGAGAACTCGAAGATCATTTGGTATTTGTTCCTGGAGCAAACCTTCGGTAGGAACAGGTTCAGACAGCTGTTCTAATCCTAAATCCGCATGTGGATAGCAGAATGAGTTGATAATGATTATCTAGTCTGTATATGTGTATTATTAATTAGGGGGGTGGGTTAGTCTAGTGGTCAAAGTGTTTACTCGTCACGCTGAAAACTCGGGTTCGATTCCCCACATGGGTACAGTGTGTGAAGCTCATGTCTGGTGTCCCCGCCGTGATAGTGCTGGAATATTGCTAAAAGCAGCGTAAAATTAAACTCACTCACTATTATTAATTAAGGGGAAGCGTAATATAGAAGGTGATATCCAAGTTGGAATCCACTACATCGTATCCCAATTGCGTAGATCGATGCTCGTGCTGTTGATCACTGGATTGTCTAGTCCAGACTCCATTATTTACAGACCGCCGCCACAGAACTGGAATATTGCTGACTGCGGCGTAAAACTAAACTCACTCACTTGTTGCAAGTTGCATTGTTTATTTTCTGTAAATATATATTTCATTGAACTTTACATGATGCATACCTATGAGTTTTTCGTTTGTATATCTCATACCTTGAAAGAGGCAATTGATGGGAATTGGTTGGTCACAATGTGTGACTTGGAAAGTTCTGTGTCATTTTGACCCAACGGTCTTAATCGGTCCTGACACTAATACTACATGCAAATACTTAATTAACTATTAACATCTGACTGTATATCTCTGTTGACATCACTGGAAATAACGACTAAACACCATGCCTGTAATTAGTGCTGTCCTGAATAGGGCTGCACGGAATTATCGGTATACCGGTATATCGTAAGACGCCTCTCAATCGATACGTATTGCAGTGGGGTATTTTCTCAGAACTGGTATATTGGGTGGTAGGATTATATACTCATGGAAACGAATAAGGAAAACATGTAAGCACATTATTTATTTCCAGTTTTTCACCCACAGTGCGATATAGAGTATGACAAAAAACGGAAAAGAAAAACTTTCGTGTGTTCCTTTATTTGTTTCCATGAGTATATGTGATGTGTGAGTTTTGTAAAATCTACAGAGTTGTATTCACAATGAAGTTTCCCATTGTAAGTACTTGACACAACAGCATGCTTTACATACTATCAATTTTATACAAAGGAAATTACAGTCCCTCGAAATCAAATCTAATTTCGAGGTTTGTTATCACAGCCATTTTTAGGGCTTTTGAATGTAGAAAATAGACTCTGCGTATACAATCAATGTCACTCACTGTCAAACACTCCCAAAATATCACAATAAGTATCGGAATACGGCTACCAGAATCGCAACAAATTGCAATACAGTTCATTTGGCAACACATAGCACAAGTACAGAAGCATGCAGACAGACACATATCATTCATTGCTTGAACAGAATTATATGTTTTACGTTCAGAAGGATCATGTTGTAGTTTTAGATTTTGTGTGAAGACCTGTACAGACAGATATAGTGATTTGATTATGATTCCCCATGATGTACATTTCTGGCGTCCCCCGCCGTGATATTGATGGGATGCTGCTAAAAGGGGCGTACAATCTTACTCACTCATTTACTCACTAATATTTCTCCCAAACCTTTCAGTTTTCTAAGGGGCGGTAGGGTAGCCTAATGGTGAACCTTTCGCTCGCCACGCCGAATAGCTCAGGTTCTATTCCAACATAGTTGCAATGTCTGAAACCGATTTCTGGTGTCCCCTGCCGTGATATTGCTGGAATACTGCCAAAGGTGGTCTAAGGCTAAACTCACTTACTCAATTTCCTAGGTCATCCACTCAATCGTCCACATACCAGATGGTTTGTCTCGGTCAGTTTGCTGACCACATGCAATTAGTGATCAGAGTTGGATGGTGATCATAATATAACCCACTTGTTGGGTAAACCAGACTAATGACAGCCCACATTGGAATATTCCTGAAAGGGGCTTATGTTTATTATGTTGTTAGCGGTAGCAGGAACACCAGGTTTCGCCATCACCCGTGTTGGGAATCGAACCCAGACTACCCTTGGAATATAACCTACAACAACACGCACGATTTGGATTTGGCGTCCGCGTTTGGTCTGCTTGACCTTGAAGTCGTTTGACCTTGACTTACATCTTGCGCGTCATTGTTTCCAACATCCTCTTGAGGATTAACAACCTTCTGAATCCTTTGAACAAGTTCATCGGCCTTACCCCCCTTCCAACTCTCTTGGACCCGCTCATCCTGTGATAAATCAATGTATACCAGCGGAGTAAGGACCATGCTCATTGGTCCCGAGGGAGGCCAGGCTGTTGGTTCCAGTAACAATGGTACGATAGGTTTCTTTAAAGCATCTGCCAAGCTGACTTCCCGACGGCAGTTGGCCGATAAGCAGTATTTTGTTGTCACACAGCTGATGACAACCTTTGAGCCCCTCACGCCTTTGTCAATCTTGTCGAACAGGGAGTCCCCTCCGCCCATCTGGTGCACGTCCATCCAACACGTGTAGCCAAGGGAGGTAAGTCGTGCAAACAGTTTTTGTACCTGTGGTTGTTTGCCCCATTGGTATGACAAAAACACGTCCATGCTCTGTGCCTGTGGAATGAAACAAACGGATAACCTATAATATTCACCGTGACGCGCAAACGACGACTAGACAAGTTCTTCTTTCCCCAATCCACCTCAAGAAAAATGTATACTCGTCATACAATAAAAACTAAGCTGTAATGATGCGAGCATGAGTGACTAAGTATAGATTTACATTCAGTTCACTACTACTACTACTACTACTACTACTACTACTACTTCTAGTACCATTACTACTACCACTACTACTACTATGCTATTGATCACCGGATTGTCTGATCCAGACTCAATTATTTACAGACCGCCGCCATATAACTGAAATATTGCGGCGTTAAACAACAAACAAACAAACCAAAAACAATTTAGATTGATGTGTAAAATGTACTTTCAGATATTAATACTAAATTTATTAATTTACCGCCGGCTCAAAATGAAAATTCAGGACATCAAATTCTCATTAAGACCCGAAAAAACCCAAAAAAATCATTAACCACACAAAAACACTTCTCACTGTTCATATAAATAATGAGCACATACTCCTGTTAGTTAACTCTCATAGAACTGTTTGCAAAATATTCAATGCAAATTTCCTTCATGTGCAATTAACTGTATTTTACCTTCATCGTGGAAGTCGTCTTCGACTGGTCTCCGTCTTTGCTATGTTTGTTCTGAGGTATATGGGCAATCGCAGGAACTTGGCCCCACCAGTCTTTATATTCTGTAAACATAAGGACATCCAAGGGCTTTTGGCACCAGCATTGTATGTCGACCCCCATCTGCACCATCCCAATGGCTCTTTCTCTCTCTTCAACTGTTAATCGTGGCATATTTCTCGTACTTGTGTATCATATCATGCATTCTATGTTCTCTTTATACCCTATAGAATCATTCTAAACGTGAAATGGATGCAAATACTGCTTGAATATTGCTGCGTTTTGGCGATTGATATTGCTATGTGTAAACAGAAAATGGAATAATGTTACTTTGAAAGCCAAAATGTTGACAAAAATAATTTTTGATGTTCCTAAACACTTTTTCACAATATCAAAGACATGTTTTACTTGTTTTTACTAATGCAAATCAGCAGAAAATGTTTTAAAAGGCTGAAATCACAGGAATGATTATTTTATAATTTACACACTCTACAACAGTTGTTTCTTGTTTTAATATTTGGAAAATGGTGACTTGAAATGGTTTATTTTTGTCTCAAAGCAGAATTTTATTTCAACCTTTCTTTTGGACATCTAACTCCCTGTTATATGTTTATTTCGGCATGGACGAAAATAGGACAATTTAACTCTTCAGAAAAAGATGCATTTCACCTAAATATGAATGCATTTGAGAAATCTTTTTCGTGATTTGCATGAAGCTGTGTTGTTCAGCTTTCTTGTAAACTAATATGTTCTAACATATCTGTGATAGTTTTTAAGTAATTCATAAAGGTAGGAGTGTATGTCTTATCTGAACCAGTTTGGGATTTCTTCAGAAATATACAGAAAAACCTTGACCCTTGATAAAATCATCCAGACGAAAGGAAGTCAGGATTAAGCTCACCTGTTAACAAGTCTCTGATATGACGGTGGGAGTCATTGTAATCGACTCCTCCTCTTTTGATGACTCCCACATGGGTACAATGCATGAAGCCCATTTCTGGTGTTCCCCGCCGAGATATTGCTGGAATATTGCTAAAACCGGCGTAAAATTAAACTCACTCACTCTTTTGATGACTAAATTATGCAGCAAGTGATCGGGAGGAAAAAACTAGTCTGTTATATCCGTCAGTTTGTTGTACAAGCGAGTCCAGTAATTCCGCGCGTCCAGTAATTCTGCGCAGCTGCAATAGCGTACTTCCGTGTCGAAGGTAAAATCGTCTGCTACCACATTTACCCTTGAAATCGGGACATTTCTGCAAGGGACTGGCTTTTAATCACTAAAGTAAATAACAGTAATTGACAGATAAATTGACAGTTTTATGAAAATTCGTTTTCTTCAGACTTTTAAACCTTTTTCTTCGTTATTCATAATTGGATTTAATATGAAACACTCTTCCTTATATTGATGAAGTGATTTTTTAAAATAATCTGGCCCTAATACGTTTCCATACTTCGGATCGCCAACTGGATGTTATGCGCATGAGTTGCTGCGCAGAATTACAGGACAGCAAGCGATGTCGTCATAACGCCGGTAAGGTCAACCGTATGGCATAATGCAACATTAGAATATTATAGTCGTCAATATATATTCAAGGTAAATATGATGCATACCAGCATGTTTAGTCACGTTAACCACAAAAAATAAGAGACGTTAGTTGCCGTGTTGCGATCGATGTGGTTAGGTGCGCGGAATTACTGGACGGCATTGTAATTCTTGTAAACTGTATTAACCGAACTGACGAAAAACTCTTTTGGCAGAAATATCTTAGGGACGTGAAACAGGTTTTGTTGTCTCCATTTCAATCTCACGGGAAATGGGTGAAATGCATTATTATTGTCAAAATGTATGGGTTCTTATTTTCTGTAAGTCAGGGATATCGAATTTAATGCAGTTGTGAAAAGGTAAAAATATTGGTTCAGAAATAGACTGAGTTAATATTTAACGTCACATCGGCAATATTTCAGCCATATCGTGAATGGTTCAGAAATAAATTGCATCTAAATGATGACAAGTCGGTATTTTGACAGCCTGTATTGGAATACATCTAATTGAGGATTGGTTTCGGCTGTAGCTTGGGGGCCGAATATTGGCCTCTTCACATGCCTAGACACTTCTTCGGGAATCTATCTGAACTCTCCCAGTAAAATACGTTTATGCATCTTTGTAGATGAAGGATATAGGATTCTGGTCAATCTTTCTCGACTTGGAAACTAGAATCTACACCCAGCACAGCCAGCCACTCTTACCTGGTTCAACCTGTAGACTGACTTCCACCTTGTTGTAACTAAGCTGGAGGAGAAGCTCCCGGAACTTGGCCTTGGACCAGAATGCATCAGTCTCTACTTCCTCTCCCGGCCGGGAGAAGAACCTGATGAAGAGGTACTCGCTGAAGATCGGCCCCATGGACCCGGCCGGTGGCCATGTGCACTTCTCTAGGAGTAGAGGAATTATCGGCTTGCCCAGTGTGACCGCAAGGTTCACCTGGAATAAATAGTGTTGGCAGTGTATCCTTGTCGGTTTCAAAACAGGCATCAATAATCGAGATAACAGAGCTGAAATACGTTTTGTCAGAGAGGATCACGAAGTACGTGCTCCGGACAACCAGTTCGGACTTCTATTTTTAAGCTTCAGTGGCTGGGTGAGTTAGATGGCTGACCTTTGGTGCCTTATTGTGAGAGAGTGGGATACGATGACACGTGTCAGCGATCCTGACCACCCGATTCCGTTAATTGCCTCTTACGACAAGTATGGGTTGCTGAAGACTAGGGCCTAGATTTTCGAAGCTCTCTTAGCCCTAAGATAGTCGTAAGTTAAAGTTAATGTATGGCACTTACGACTATCTTAGCAATAAGAGAGCTTCAAAAATCTAGGCCCAGGATCTTCATGGTTCATTTTCCCCCGATGTGATATTGCTGGAATATTGCTGAGAGCGGCGTCAAACCCAACTTAGTCAGTCAGTCAGTCAGTCACTGGTCATTCTATAAAGGGTAAATTGAATAAAGAATGTAAATTGACCATACCTCGCGGTTGCAGTTCGGGCTGCCGGCATACTTGTCCGTCACACAGCAGAGGACAACAGTAGCTGCTCGTATACCTCGGTCAATCTTCTCAAACAGCTTGTCTCCCCCTCCCATCTGGCCAATGTCCAGCCAACAGCTGTATCCAGCTGACACGAGGTGGCGCTGTAACAGCTGTACTTCCGGTTGCTTGCCCCATTGGTAGCTGATGAAAATATCCGGGGGACTTTTGTAGTCCTGTGGTTCGTCCTCTACTACTGTTTCTGGAAACAAGGGTGAATTTTGTTTTACGCCGCTTAGTAAACAAGCCCTAACATTTTTCGTCTAATTGCTGCTTGTTTTGGCTATATTCCTGCTACAAAAGAGGCGGTGGGGTAGCCTAGTGGTTAAAGCGTTCACTCGTCACGCCGAAGACCAGGGTTCAATTCCCCACATGTGTACAATGTGTGAAGCCCATTTATTCCTGGTGTCCCCCGCAGGCATATTGCTGAAATGTTGCTAAAGCAACGTAAAACCATACTCACTCAGTCCATCTACATGACGGCTGCCTGTAACTTCATAAGACTGGACCAGAAAATCCCGTGATTGGCAAAAATGACCTGACCACCCAATCCCTTTAGTCGTCTTTTCCTAAACTCATTGATAGTTGAAGAACAATTCTAACCCGCGTCGGTACGGAATGACTACGGTTAATCTTGAGAAAGTTTTTGTCCCATAAAATCGGATTTAAAATTGGCATCACCTGCCATTTTCATAGCATTCTCCACAATGACCGCCGCATCGGTCCTGTTCATCTCTTGCAGTGTCTGTAGAACACCGAACGTGGCATCTCTGGTCTTGTGGGTGCTGTACCATTCATTCAACATTGACTGGCACGGGTCAGCCGTCTGTGCCCATCCCCGGATGTCGTCGTTGCTGTAACCAAGGCGACTACTCAGCAACCGCCAATCGTGTTTGCTCTCAGGATTCAAAAGTTTAGAAACATCACGTGCCCAAAATGGCGCGTGGCTTAATGTCTGAAAGACAATAAAAATTTCATGGTTTATACGTATTTTGATTTATTGAAAGTAGGGGAGGTCGGGTAGCCTAGTTGTTAAAGCGTTCGCTCGTAATGCGGAAGCCCGGGTTCGATTCCCCACATGGGTTATATGTGTAAAGCCCATTTCTGGTGTCCCCAGCCGTGATATTGCTGGAATATTGCTAAAAGCGGCGTAAAACTAAACTCACTCACTAACTGATTAAGCAAAAGTTAGATATTACTATATTCTCTGTTCTTGCTTTCTTGCTATACCAGGTGGGCACTGCTTGGCTCCTGTGCATCAAAAAGGTCATGTTACTTTCAGTTTGTTTGTTTGTTGTTTAACGCCGCACCCAGCAAACTTCGAGCAATATTGTACTACCAGTACACAACAATACGCTTTTCACATGAAACGTATTGCAATAATTTTCTTCTGAGAAGCGGTATATTGGGTAAAACATTACAACAAGTTTGTCATTATCTGTATGGTTTAAGTGAAATTTACAGACTTTTATTCACCTCTAATGTTTTCTTTCATAGCTAATTGACAAAACAGCATACATTATATGCTATGAGTTGAATAAAAATCAAAGAATCACAACTACATCACCCATATGTTAGATCGATGTTATCAGAACCATATTTGCTTTTGGGGCCTTTGTATGTAGAAAATAGTGAGTGAGTTTAGTTTTACGCCGCACTCAGCAATATTCCAACTATATGGCGGCGGTCTTATAATACTCGAGTCTGGACGGGAGAGTTCAGTAATCAATGTCATGAGCATCGATTTACGTAATTGGGATACAATGGCATACATCAGCCGCGTCAGCGAGTCTCACAACCCGATCCCGTTAGTCACCTCTTACAAGGGGCGGTGGGGTAGCCTAGTGGTTAAAGCGTTCGCTCGTCACGCCGAAGGCCCGGGTTCGATTCCCCACGACTCTTACGACAAGCATGGGTTGCTGAAGAGCAATTCTAACCTGAATCTTCTCGGGTCTATTGGTATCATCAGAATGAATCTATGCAATTGGGATGAAACGACATGTACCCAGTCTCACCACCCGGTCCCGACCAGCATTGGTTGCTGAAGATCAGTTCTAACTCGGATCTTTGATATGTGTATGGGCAGGGAACCATAGCAAACTAGTCAATGTTATTGTATAAATCAGGGCAAACTTTGAGTTCTATATATTACATCCACAAACAGGGTTTTCAAACGAATATCATTGTGACAATTGTTGTGTCCATGTGAGAATTCGAACCCGGGCTTTCGGTGGGACCAGCGAACGCTTTATGTATCCCACTATTCAATAATAACGACTGGGGAATATTTTAATTATATTTACCTTTTTGTCGATTTCTTCGACTTTTGACACAGTGTCTTCAACGGTTTCCCCCAATTCACGGAGTTCTGTCCTTTGATAGTCCAAGCGGACCTCCGCACGATCCACCCGCTCCTTCTGAACTGTGACGTCATTCTGGACATTGTCTACCTTGGCACCTGTTGACGTCACTTCCTCTTCGAGTTGCCCCACTTCCTGCTTTACGCCCTTCATATCGGCTGACAACGCCTCCAGGCTGGATAGAGAGTAACGGTATGAGTACCATCTAATGTTAAGATTTGCAGGTTTTAAAGGTTTGAATAGATGAATGCAGTAAAGAGGGTTCGGGTGATCCTGGCACAGTCAGGCTAGGCTGGTTAGGCTCACAACCCAGACAGCGAATGGAACTTTTCCCAGGAAGCGCTGCCCTGAAACGCTCTGAGAGTACGCTGACTGCAAAACCCTGCAGCCTTCTGCAATATTCAGAGGTCAAAGGGAAGGTGTTCCTGGCAGTAGAAACCTAGACCCTCTCCCGTTGCCAGTCAACAGACTGGGAGGAAGAGTCCGTTTGATTTCATTTGAGACCGATGAATTGCTCACTAACACAAAATCTAATAATTGCAACTAAACCAAATTTTTCGCAGTCACATGAAATCGACAGACCAACTCAGATGATTTGTTTCATAATTTTGGACACTCGAATAAAAAAGTTGTTTAACAAACGATCATTATTTTGTTGTCATTTATCGCTATTTTTTACGAGGGGGAAACAGCGAGTTGCACATGAAATTGGGTCTATCGATTTCATGTGTGATATATATTTATATATTTCATGACGCCATCGGCAAACGCTGGGTCGTGTCATGGATGGACCTCGCAGTACAAAGCCACAGCATGGCGAATATGGTAACAAAAGATCGAGCCACGCCACCATGTCGCTTAAGATACTGTGTTTGTGCCATCCACTGATAAGGTATTGGACAGCCTCGTTCCATTCAGTTTAACCGAAAGTGACCAAACAAATGTATAAAGACCTTTTGAAATGGGAAAACCGGAGATATCAGAAACATCAAAATACCATATCATAGTTTATTAGCCTCCAATATTTTCATATTTTCCTCACAAACCTCCTTCCTTCCAGTATATCCAGAATGAAGATACAAGTGTCCTTGACCGACTGAACTTTGGTAGTGTCGCGGAGGTCAGCTATGAAGGACTTCCGGCTGTCCAGAAGGGGCCGATGAATTGCTCCCACTGCACGCATCGCGTTCAAAACTAGGGGAGATAACTCCCCGTCTTCCGGTCGAGACAATAACTTTGTGTAGAACTCCATTACTGGTTCTGCTTTGTCCTGCAAATGATTTGACACACGTATGGAAATAATTTTTTGAGTTCAAAATTAACATATTGTTTCCATTCGTTTCAACGAATTATAATCCTTTTTGTCAGGGCCGACAGTCAGTTGATTCTCTGGTTTGTTTACACGGCAAGGTCGCTTGGTAGGATTAGTGCTGTGCCGCGTGAGGCTAAAAATAGCCTTTATATATGAACGTCAGGTACGAGCGGTAGAGCAGGACGTGCGTATGCTTGTTAAGAACACCCGGTGTCCTCACTATATTTTCCCCACATGGGTACAATGTGTGAAGCCCATTTCTGGTGTCCCCCGCCGTGATATTGCTGGAGTATTGCTAAAACGGCGTAAAACCATACTCACTCACTCAGTATATTTTCAGCATAAATTATGACACACACACACACACACGAGGGGCTGATGAATTTGAGGGGGGTCACCCATTGTGTTCTGTTGAGGATGGGGCCACGTGCAGGGGAGATATTGATTTCGTACATGACACAAGGGGTGAGACGTCACTTACTTTGTATATATCTTTTAAGGCTGTCACTCACATTGTACATGCTTCACCATACAATCATCGTTGACTCCCCTAGTCATAATTTTCAACAGGCCCTTAGCCCTTTTTCCACAAATATTTTGACCTTCACTGCAGATGCTAGACTAGCATGGATGTTATCACTTGCCATATAATTCACTCACCATTGACGTTCGAACGGCAACGTTCTTGAGGACGTTCACCAATAGTCGTCGGCCATGTTGTTTATGAACGTCAGCCTGCATCAACGTCGCAGTGTGCGCTACGATCAAGTCTGGGCGTTGTTGGGACAAGTGTAGGAGAATTGTCAGATAGCTGGCTTGTTCCGGTTCGTCAGCTGACTTCATCTCCTTGATAATAGTTGCGACGTGGTCATCATCGAACAGCTGGAAATATACACACAAATCTGATTGTTGAAGAAACACGGTGGATCAGAATTTCAAACTGTCATTATGATACAGACAGACATCTTACAATAATGTTCTACAAGATAACATTACCATTATTAGCTATGTTTTAACACAACCTAAGCCACTATTCTGAAGCTCACCTGCAAGAAATACTGAATCTGTATCGACAAAGGAATTTTTCCATGTTTATTGAATTGATTACTGACAGACATCATTCAATATTGTTTTAAAAGAAAGCAATATCACTATTAATTCATTTTAACAAAACCACAAGCCACTTTATTCTGAAGCTGACCTGCAAGAAACGCGGAAAATCTATCGACAAAGGGGATTTTTCCATATTCACTTAATTGATAAAATTGCTGTGAGGAGTGTGTCCATTTCATGTTTACCACGACTACTAAGGCAGAACACAAGTTCGGGGGTTTAAGCTGTCCTCGTGGTTACAATACACAGTTGCGTTATAACGAGGTATTCAATCACGTACCTGTGGTTGACGTGTGGCTACGTCTTCCATCAGTGAGAGGACAAGCTCCCTCACGTCATCATCCCGACTGTCCATGAGGTCAAAGAAGGTCGAAAAGTGCGGCACAAGGGGCTCTGGGTTGGACGGGTACACTTTGGTTATGGGGACTGAAAAAACGTTTGCTCGTTTATTGTGATGTGAGTGAGTGAGTTATTTCTACGCCGCTTTTACTAATATTCCAGCAACTGCACTACCCCGCCGAACGTATAGCGGGTCAGTAGCCTATGCTTGAAAGAGGCGATTAACGGGATTGGGCGGTCAGGTTCGCTGACTTGGTTGACACATGTCATCGTATCCCAAATGCGTAGATCGATGCTCATGCTGTTGACCACTGGATTGTCTGGTCCAGACTCGGCTACTTACAGACCGCCGCCATATAGCTGGAATATTGCTGAATGCGGAGTAAAACTAAACTTAGTCGCCTTTAACAAGCATGGGTTACTGAAAATCAATTCTAACCAGGATCTTCACGGTTCGTGACAGATGTGACCTTACTGAAGTTAAGAATTCAAAATTTGGTAAAGAGCTTGAGTTAGAGAGATGATAAAGTTCGGCAAAATGTTTGTTATAATTATAGGGGAGGACACCTTAGTCCTTTACCTTTCAAACCAATGGAATATGTTTCGGCAGTTCAACCAGACACGTTATCCTGTGGACTTGTGGTTTTACATTTACAGCAAACTACGTTTATAACGAACGCGAGTATGACGAAATGACGGTTATATCGAATATTTGTCCATGCCACTTGTTGAACATTTTGGTCGAAATGCTTATAACGAACTACAGTTATAACGAACTAAAATTAGTGGTGCCTTTAAATTCGTCATAACCGTAGTTTACTGTATATATGGTTGACATGTCTGTTATAATTCTCCATCTACACTCACACAGTATGTCTGTGTTCTCCTCCTCAACGAACAGCTTGACCATGGCCTCAAAGTGCGGGGCCAGGGCTTTAGCCTCCTTAGAAGCTATGGAGGCTACATGGCTGATAGCAAGGCTCTGGATCTGCTCAAACTCGTTGCCCATGAAGGACACTATTCTGCAGATCAACTCGGAGGCTTTCGCTGCTGTCTCCGGGTTGTCTATCTGTGGAATAGATCAATGAAGGAATAGATTAATGCTTTGTGTGTTTTAACGCCGCACTCAGCAATAGTCCAGCTATATGGCGGCGGTCTGTAAATAATCGAGTCTGGACCAGACAATCCAGTGATCAACACCATGAGCGTCGATGTACGTAGTTTGGATACGATGACATGTGTCCACCAAGTCAGCGAGCCTGACCACCTGATCCCGTCAGTCGCCTCTTACGACAAGCATGGGTTGCTGAAGGTCAATTCTGATCTGGATCTTCAAGTGTAACAGATAGATATACAAACCATTTTACAACTCAGAAGTCCCTTGTAAGGTGATCTACCTTCTGTTGTTGGCGATCTCTAGCCTGTTTTTATATTGTTTGTCCCAATAGTGCTATTAGTTTTAAACTTTCCACGCTAGTTTTAATTCTAATTGTGATATTCTAGTTGTTTTACTGTCCTTCGTCGGCAGGTTTTTATAATATACATATGTTTCATTTCAAAATCAACTATGTTCTCGTCACGATATGGCTGAAATATTGCCGATGTGACGTTAAATAATAACTCACTCACTCACTACAACTCAGAAGGACTTTCTGCTGGAAGTATGAGACTAAATCCCAATCTCATTATTTGTGAAACGATGAGCGTCTGCCGTGCAAACTAGGAACGAACATATCTTCACGTTTCAGAGTAAAACCAAACGCTTGTAGTCATGATGCATGGCTTTTGCAGATTTTTACTCAGTAAATATATTGGACTTTAAACCTGATAAAAGAAAATGTTTTAGTGCAATGAGCAATTGGTTAGTTTGTGTTATTTGCAGGCCGTTTTGTCACCTCGCCAAGCACATCTCCGGTTTTGTTTACTTCCATTCATTTACCATACATACACTGCACCTGATGGACAAATGGATTAGTTTTCAGCCCAATTCCATAGGCTTAAGTTTAGTCATCCTATCAAATTGCTTCCAAAAGCTAGAGACGTTTTGTGCTCAGGTGGAGATCCAGGTGGTGATGTCACTTCCGAAATGGACCTATAATGGGAATATAATGACCTGCATTCTCGAGGATGCATTCAACACTATTTCAACTATGAGGGCTCATTGGTCACTTGGGACATGCAACTCACTCACTCACTCACGCATGCAAGGACGCACTCACTCACTCACTCACTCATTCACTCACTCACTCACTCACTCACTCACTCACTCACGCAAGGACGCACTCACCATCTTACACAACCTTGTACCAACAGTGGAGTATAGGTCGTAAAAGGCGGTGTCGGGAGTGTTGCTGTCGGGATTGATGAAGTCTCTTTGTGTCGCGGACATCGTCAGAGACATCAGAATACCAACTTCCTCATCAGACAGGATCTTTGCGTCTCTGAAACAAAGATGGGAACAAAGATACTGATAAAGTACAATTCTCAGGGCCGACTTGATTAAAGGAAGACATCGAGAGATACCCAACGGCTTAACGATACAAACAAACACGTGACTTTAAAACATCACGATGAACACATCACATTCCCTTTCTGAATCATGCACTGGAATTATAACTGCCACTTAGGGAATCGAACTCTGGTTTTAGGCGTGATGACCGGATGCTTTAACCACCGGACTACTCCACCATCCGTGTAAAGCTGATGGTAGCGCTTGGAATGAGAGCTCAGTTACAATCTCTAAGACCACAGGCAGTGTAACTTGTAACTCAGTATTCATTTATTTATCAATACGTTAGTGTCTTACGTAATCGCGTCCATTGCCTTCGCAGCCAGGGTCTGCGCAATGTTACGCGATGATGACAGGTCCCAACGGAAGTCAGCATCTTCTAGGAGTGGCTGGAGAGTCTTCATGGAGTGGAACATCAACGTCTTTTCTTTCTGAAATAGACCCAGTTTATTAAATACAGATATATTAAGCACGCCTTAGATTGTCCCTTATTCCTTTCAACTCAAATTTAGTTATACGTATTGCTTTGGGTCTTCAAGACTGTAGGTATCGATCCATGGTTTCCTTTGCTCCGGTTAACTCGAACTAGAGAACATCGGACTCCGGTTAACTCTCGAACTAGAGAACATCGGACTTGCTAGTCCGTACCTCCAAACATGCAGATTGCTCGTATTAAAAAATATAAAGGTTATGCCTTTATTCGGAATGAAATGAAAATCGTAAAAATTGTGTCGTTTGTCAACATTTATTTTGAAAATATGATATGGTTCTACAAACACGAATTCCACTGAAACTGCCTATGCCTTCTCTTTTTATGGTGGGGCCGTAGTGTACCGTTTAGTGGTTAAAGCGTTCGCTCGTCCTGCCGAAGATCCGGGTTCGAGTCCTCACATGGGTACAATGTATGAAGCCCATTTCTGGTGTCTCCCGCCGTGATGTTGCTAGAATATTGCTCAAAGCGGCTTCTAATCATATCCACTCCCTCATCTTAACCTTTTCTAAATATATAAATGTGTCAAATGTAAACGAACGATACTAATCGTGCTTGTTATCTCACTTTGACCTTGTCTTAAAATGTACATTTAAAACTTTCTTATCGTGCTGGATACCTCGGTTTGACCTTTTCTTAACATTTAACTTTGTAAATTATAATGACATAGTTATCGTGCTTCTTACCTTGATATTGAACTCCACCCTTGTTACGACCTCTGACCCCAACCTGAGCATGAACTTTGACCTTGATGCAAGGCACTTCAAGCAGTAGTAAACCATACGTTCATTCAACTCTTTGATGACCCGGTCACGTCTGAAACACCAACACACGAACATGATACTTATATAGTTGATGGTGTGTGCGTGTCTGCGTGTGTGCGTGCGCGCGTGTGTGTATTGCGTGCATTGCGTGCGGAAGTTGTGATATAAGTGCATACCTTTCACAGAATCGTTAAACCAAACTCACTCACTCACAGATTCCGAAACATCTAACGCCAGGAAGGTGAGGTTTCCAAATCACAAATCATTATACTTTGTACAATCTTACAAATAAACCACCCGCCATCATATGTACTTTTTATTCATATTCCGGCCTACGCGTAACAAAAGTTCCGTTCTGGTATGTCACTTATGAAGTAATATCAAGACAAGAGACCCCAATATAGAAGAGAGGACAGTTTGGTTCAAGAACTTACTTAATCTGTTCCAAGAACGCTGATAAAACGCTGACGTAGAGGGTGGTCAGTGTCTCTTTGTTGTCATCCGGGTCCCCAGATATCTCGACGTCAGTTATAAGGTCAAGGACATCCTGTGCATCGGCCACATGAGGCTAAAATGCAAAAACACTTCAACAATTAAACCTGTTCGTTTCAATGATAGCGAAAGGTGTAAATGAATAAACTCAAGATATTGGGATTCGAACCCAAGACCAGCGATCCTGGTGCGTAAGTGGGGCGCACCTTTCTAAGGCCAAACCTAAGGCCATAGACGGCTGGGTTACCTACGCCTCTAGATGCTATGGCATAGATTCGTTGCGACAATATAACACTCAACTGACCAACAAAATATAGTATACACCTGATGTTTTTGAGATTTTCATGACATTCCACGCACTGCACAGGGTATCTGCGATAGTTTGGCAACCAGTACACGGCGTTTGTGACTTGTAAGTGAAAAGAAAAACCTTTTCCCTATTTATTTACCTATTTTTTAAATAATCCCAAAATATCATATTTAATTAATCGTTAGTGAGTGAATGTGGTTTTACGCCGCTTTTAGCAATATTCAAGCAATATCACGGCGGGGGAAACCAGAAATGGGCTTCACACTTGGTACCCATGTGGGGAATCGAATCCAGGCGTGACGAACGAACGCTTTAACCACTAGGCTACCCCACCGCCCGCATTAATTATTAACGTAACAGTTTGTTTCGAACACCGACCTTCCATTTCAGGAACTTGTCCTTGACAGTCAGGATTGTATGAGCTGTGTCCGCACAGTGGCGTTTTGGTATCTTTACCAGGGACTTCAGGAGCCCAATCAGCAGACTGATATGTTCTTTGGAGCTGCAACAAAGGTTGTGGCTCTCAATGTTAAGGCCCCGTAAAGATCCGGGTTAGAATTGGTCTTCAGTAACCCATGCTTGTTCTAAGAGGCGACTAACGGGATCGGATGGTCAGACTCGCTGACTTGGTTGACACATGTCATCGTATCCTAATGGAGGAAACTGATGCTCATACCGTTGATCACTGAATTGTCTGGTCCAGACTCGATTATCTACAGACTGCCGCCATGTAGCTGGAATATTGCTGAGTGCGGCGTAAACCTAAACTCACTCACTCATACTACAATCAACTCACACAAATTGAAAGTCAGTTCTAAATTTGTTGAACGTTTATTTAAAGCCTTATGGATTTTGTATGCATTGCACAATTTCATCCATACTATGGTCCTCACAAACCTGAGAACATAATCATAGCTAACCGGGATTCGAACGAGCATGTGGTTCAGTCGTGCCAAGAGTTTATACGGCTGATTGGGGCGCCTTGGTTGAGTGGACGACCTTTGTCCCTTCATTCAAAGAACATACTTATAATAGGTTGTACCAAATGATGTTCAACATGAAGCTGACGTCAAGGATGTCACTGCTTACTTGTTCATGCTGCCACAGATGACGTTGCAGACGGCAGGTTTGACCAGCAGAGCGTCGAGGAAGCTGTGGTCAGTCAGCTGGTCAAGGAACTGTCCGAACGCTGGAGTCATTGTCTCAAAGAGGCTTGAATTACCCTGGAAAGGAAAGCTGACATTGATCCATGGCGTCGAGTTAGTTTTGGTCTAGAAATCCGGTCTGGAATTGCAGGCACCATATACCTGGAACACTGCTGTAGGCGGTTAAAGAAACACAACTGAAGACATACGTCATGTTTGTTTGTTGTTTTACGCCGCACTCAGCAATATTCCAGCTATGGCGGCGGTCTGTAAATAACCGAGTCTGGACCAGACAATCCAGTGATCAACACCATGAGCATCGATGTGCGCACCTTGGATACGATGAAATGTGTCAACCAAGTCAGCGAGCCTGACCACCCGATCCCGTTAGTCGCCTCTTACGACAAGCATGAGTTGCTGAAGACCAATTCTAACCAGAATTTACTTATTCAATCACCGGTCCCAACACTCACAAACATTTTTATCAACAGCTTATATTTGCACCGGGTGCTTTTTAGCATTTTGTTCTCACTAATATCTTAGCACAGAGCAGAATTATAGAAAACATGTCTTTCAGCGATTAAATTTATTGTAGCAAAGTGATACAAACTAAACTCTGACCCTGACCTTCAGGACAGTGTCGGTGACGCCGTTGTACAACACCCCCACCTCCTTGACCAGATGGTGAATTTTGCAACCATGCTTATCCTTGCACATGTTGACAAGAAATGACAGTATGTCACTTGACAGTTGGACAAACAGGTTACCTCCCCTGAAAAACAGATAGAAACAGTTGCATACAAAAAGACTCGTACCTGAATAGTACGCCATTATTGCCAAGAATCGCAGGGAAATTAATCAAATCGCGCGTAGTAAAATTTGAAACGAGGTCATATCGTTTCTTTGCGATTATCGATTTTCATCATTATTTCCGTGATTATAAAATTATCCTGTTACTAATATTTGTTCACGACATAAGACACTTTTGACCCCTTGAGACCACATTGAAGTTAATGTTTTGCATTGGCTGAGCCGAGGAGGGGTTCAGAGGGTTCGAACCCCTAAAACACCCCCACCCCTTTGAAAATTCCTAGATCCGCCTCTGCGTGTTGTATTATAAATTTTAGGAGTTGCTATGTTTGGAAATTCAGAGCTATCTTTCATCATTGGAAATAGTCCTAACAGACCTACTCAGCGACCCACCCACTCTCTCACAGACCTACACAGAAACTCACTCACTCACTCTCTCATAGACCTGGGGCGGTGGGGTAGCCTAGTGGTTAATGCGTTCGCTCGTCACGCTGAAGACCCGGGGTCGATTCCCCACATGGGTACAATGTGTGAAGCCCATTTCTGGTGTCCCCCGCCGTGATGTTGCTGGAATATTGCTAAAAGCGGCGTAAAACCAAACTCACTCACTCAAAGACCTACTCACCGACCCACTCACTCACTCACTTACAGACCTACTCAACGATTATCTCACTCACTCTCTCACAGACCTACACAACGACCCACTCACTCACTCTGCGCAATGATCTCACCTGACGGCTGTGAGCAAGTCGTGGAGAACGTCAATGACAATCTTCAGTGTCTTGTTGCTCTGCGGGAAGTCTGCTTGACCGATTACTTGTTGAAGTCGACTCAGATGACGTCGGAAGATGTCAACATTTCGGATTCCCTTACAAATGGATAGGGTTGACACAAATAACCTAAATTCAGTCGGTACTTAAAAGCCACCTTCAAAGCATATGGGTCTAAAATAATCTCAATTTAGGTACCAGAATTCTTATCTTTTTGCGATAGCTTGAATCGAAGAATCGAAGTTATGATAAGCACATGCTTGATGGAACTGTCTGATACCGTGCTGAGAGAAACCTAATTCACTCACTCACCCGTAATATCGACCGATCCGAGTAAGAATTGGTCTTAAAGCAATCCATGCTTGTGGTATGAGACGACTAAGGGGATCGGGTGGTCAGGCTCTGGTCAGGCTCGCTGACTTGGTTTACACATGTCATCGTATCAGTGTGCGAAATAGCCACTGGCCCGTTAGCTCGTGGCTAGTAAAACTCCAGTCGGGCCAGTAAATCCCTACAATCTCTGGCCCGACTGGCTAGTGAATTTTCATGGAGTCATTTTGTAAATATATCACTCTCTCCGACTTGTTAAGTTATTATACACTTTTAAATCATGCAAGATTATGGCCTGATAAAAATGTTCATCATATTAGCAGCTTAATGATGAAACCCGTCTCATGCCAACACTAACTTATTCTCATCTATTTTTTTAAATCTTTTGCTTTGTTTCTACATTCAAATTTCGGGCTAGTGACTTATTTTGTGGGCTAGTAACTTTCAGGCATAGGTAGCCCGACTGGCTAGCAAAATTTGGAAACTATTTCGCACACTGCATGGTCATATCCCAGTTGGGTAGATTGGTGCTCATGCTGTTGATCACTGGATTTTCTGGTACAAACTCGATTATTTTCAGACCGCCATATAGCTAGAATATTGCTAAATGCGGCGTTAAACAACAAACAAACAGACGTAATATCGACCACCTGTTTGATACCCGTCATATAGCCGAAATATTTCTGTGCGAGGCCTCAAACAAAGAGTTTCACGCCATTTTTAGAAATATTCGAATGATATCAAGGTGGAGAACACCAAGAATGGCCTTCACAGATTGGGACCCTGTAAGAAATAGAACTTGACGAGAGGAATGTTAATCCTCTAGGCTACCCCACCACCCCGAACAAAATATAAAGAATTTAAACGACTGACATATCACTTACATGGAAGATGCCGTTGTCATAAAGACTGCATATCATCTCTGAGACGAACCTTTGCGTATCGATGACGTCATCGCGACGTGACAGGAAAGAAGTCTCGTGGAACATGTACAACTCCAGGAAGTCCTCCTGTGCTTCCATGTACAACTCCTGTCTGGTCAAGTACATGAACAACATAGGTAATGTATACAACTGGATTACACATTTCAACATTTGAAGATCAGGGTAAGAATTGATCTTCAGAACCCATGCTTGTCGTAAGAGGCGACTAACGGGATCGAGTGGTCTGGCTCGCTGATTTGGTTGACACATTTCATCGTATCCAATTGCGTAGATTGATGCTCATGCTGTTAATCATCAGATTGTCTGGTCCAGACTCGATTATTTACAGACCGCCGCCATATAGCTGGAATATTGCTGGTATGGCGTTAAATCTTGCAGTGTGAGTGAGTTAGTTGAGTTTTACGCTGCGCTCAGTGTCAACCAAGTCAGCGAGCCTGACCACCAGATCCCGTTAGTCGCCTCTTACGACAAGCATGAGTTACTGAAGACCAATTCTAACCCGGATCTTCAAGGGTTCTTGCAGAATAAATCTACTACAAGGTACATATTAGTAATAACTATAGCGTTTAAGGAAGATAATGAACTTATTTATGATACTGTTCAAGTCTTGCTGATGTCAATGGAGGTCAAAGAAAAACTTTTGAGAATTGAATGATACAGATGAATCATGTATAACGAATGTTGTATGTACATACAAGCTGTAGGAAAGGTTATACATGATGCGTGACAGCGTGACATGCAACTTGCATGTTTTGAGCGTTGTCACATGCTTTCTGTGAGGTGATTTGTCTGTTTTCCGCACTGTATGCTATGGAATCCTAGAAGGGACATTGTCGCGATGTCGCCCGAAAAAAACACGCAAACAGTAGAAACATTAACCAAAGTGCGACAATGCACGACATTTTGAACATTTGGCGCATTGTCACATTGCAGCGTAGACGCGCATTTTAAGGCATTTTTACACATCTCAGGTGGGGCGACAATGCCACAACATATTTTCACCTTGCATTGTCGCATTGTCGGCCTTAGGATGAATAGATAGATATTATTCAAAGCGCGACATTGCGACATAGCCCTCTGGTATTCCATAGTATACCGCTACTGAACTGCACTGTTAACAAACAATGGTTAATCAATATAATTCAAACCCGTGTGTTTTGACTAGAAACGACTAATGGCCACAGAGATACTATAAGGAAGTGTTTAAAACATGAATACCACATTCTGTATTCTGACGCGAAACCGACAAGTCTATTGACCTGTCGCTCACGATTGAGTGAGTGAATATGATTTTACGCCGCTTTGAGCAATATTCCAGCAATGTCATGTCATGGGACGACAAAAGTTGGCTTCACACATTGTACCCAGTACGGGAATCAAACCCGGGTCTTCGGCGTGAAGAGGGGACGCTTTAACCACCAGACTACCCCATCGCCCCTCGTGGTGAAGAACCCTAAGGTACCCCTTCACAATTGGCATAACATTGGACAAGGATATCTGATTGTAACGAAGATGATACAATGCCGTACTTTACCTGATCTGCTTTACTAAGTTTATTGCACGAATGGAAGATAAAACAAAAGTAGATTATTTGTTTTGTCATATTGTAGAGATCGGAGTTATAAGATATTATTTTGTCGTTTTGTCGCATATAAACTAACATACAAAAGAAACTACACACCTGGTGTTTTGGGATTATTTGAAAAGTGTTGTGATTTTGACTGGCAACTTCGCAATTGGGCACGATATCTGTGGTGTTTTGGCAACATATTAGAAAAGTCTGTGACTTATACATCACTGTAAAAACTCTTTTTAAAACATTTACATCGCTTTTCCGAAAGTAATCCAAAAGCACCGCATGTGTGCTTTCTCTTGTACGTCAGTTTATGTTTGTGCATGTAATATTCTGACTCGATTCGCTATGTGATTTGAGGGCATCAACAACCGAGAACCAAAAATAACAAACTATTAAATTCTATTAAAAATCTAAAACAACATTTTATTGATTGAAAGTTTTACGCCGCTTTTAAAAGCAATACGGCGGGAACATTTTAACACATTTTGCCCATGTGGGGAATCGAACCCGGGTCTTACGAGCCAACGCTTTAAGAAACCCCACCGCCCCTTTTAAGTGATTAGTTCAAGTGATTAGTTCAAGCGTTACTATATGTGCACATGTCAAGGACTGTTAGTGAGTGGGTTCAGTTTTACGCCGCTTTTAGCTATATTCCAGCCACATAACGGTGTGGGACACCAGAAATGGGCTTCACACATTATACCCATGTGGGGAATCGAACCCGGGTCTTCGGCATGACGAGTGAACGCTTTAACCACTGGGATACCCCACCGCCCTCAAGGACTATTAAAACATTCATCTATGCTATGAGCCCGTTAGAATGTATCCTTCTAAACCTCTAGACTGAAAATATTGGTGTTTCATGTGTTAAGAAGTCGAAGTAGCAGTTGTCGCGGCAGAAGTAGCAAAAGACGTAACAGTAGCAGTAGACATATATACATGATGTAGCAACTTTGTGCAGAAATTCACAAACAATGAACACGCATACATAATTGTTCTTCTATAATGATGGATAGTTGAAATGCAAAAATAAAAACGATTATTTTGGTTCGAAAGGGGATTGTTTACAGTATAGGATGATATTAAACATACGGATGTTTCTTCTTATCGATGACGGAGTGGAAGCCCCGCCAGAGAGCCTTGCTGTAGCTCATGTAGTGGAACCCTGGTTCTCTGGATGTAAACTCCCTGGTGAGAGCCCTCACGAGCGGGCGCACCGTCTCGGGGGTCGTTTTCCACTTTAGGTAAGGAGGGTTGACATTAGGTATGATTGTAATGGAGGTAACAATGTTGTTCAATTTATATACATAGAGAAACTGATATATGGACAATAGATAACTTTGTATCATGAGCATCATCATCATCATCAATATTGATTAGTTATTACATCATCATCATCTTTAATTAGTTATTAGATCATCATCAACATTCATCAGTTATTACATCATCAACATTCATCAGTTCTTACATCATCATTATCATCACCATTCATCAGTTCTTACATCATCATTATCATCACCATTCATCAGTTCTTACATTATCATCATTCATCAGTTCTTACATCATCACCATTCATCAGTTCTTACATCATTATCATCACCATTCATCAGTTCTTACATCATCATTATCATCACAATTCATCAGTTCTTACATCATCATTATCATCACCATTCATCAGTTCTTACATCATCATTATCATCACCATTCATCAGTTCTTACATCATCATTATCATCACAATTCATCAGTTCTTACATCATCATTATCATCACCATTCATCAGTTCTTACATCATCGTCACCATCCATCAGTTCTTACATCATCATCATTATCATCACCATTCATCAGTTCTTACATCATCATTATCATCACCATTCATCAGTTCTTACATCATCATCACCATTCATCAGTTCTTACATCATCATTATCATCACCATTCATCAGTTCTTACATCATCATTATCATCACCATTCATCAGTTCTCAGTTCTTACATACAACATCATCATCATCACCATTCATCAGTTCTTACATCATCATTATCATCACCATTCATCAGTTCTTACATCATCATTATCATCACAATTCATCAGTTCTTACATCATCATTATCATCACCATTCATCAGTTCTTACATCATCATTATCATCACAATTCATCAGTTCTTACATCATCATTATCATCATCATTCATCAGTTCTTACATCATCATTATCATCACCAGTCATCAGTTCTTACATCATCATTATCATCACCAACATTCATCAGTTCTTACATCATCATTATCATCACCATTCATCAGTTTTTTCATCATTATCATCACCATTCATCAGTTCTTACATCATCATTATCATCATCATTCATCAGTTCTTACATCATCATCACCATTCATCAGTTCTTACATCATCATTATCATCACCATTCATCAGTTCTTACATCATCATTATCATCACACATTCATCAGTTCTTACATCATCATTATCATCACCATTCATCAGTTCTTACATCATCATTATCATCACCATTCATCAGTTCTTACATCATCATTATCATCATCATTGATCAGTTCTTACATCATCATCGTCATCATCATTCATCAGTTCTTACATCATCAGCACCATCATCATTGATGTTAACATTATCTTTATCATCATCATCGCCAACTTCGCACCAAGGAAAACAGACAGTTTAATGTAGTTTTGCTTTTACTCCACAAAAATATCGATCAGCTGATTATGTTAGATCGTCTGTGGAGCCGTGCTTACAGGCAGAAGTAGCGCCAAGTTTAACTTACATGGTAGTAGCGCCTGTACCCCTCAGAGACGCGAATTTCGTCGACCAAGGCGAGGTGCGCCGTCCCGGGCCCCGTCTCCAGCATAGCTACGACGAAGTCGAGGCAGTCGGAGTATAAAGGGGCTGCTTCCCCATCTCCCGTCGAGTCGGGGTCAAACTTCCTACAGCCATAGGTGCGAAACGAGGTTTAAACGTCGCATACAAGACTGTGGGGTACACAGCTGCGTGTGGGTGATGGGTTTTGATTATTAGGTCTTCAGACGAAAGTCTAAGACCTACTGTTATTATCCGAATATTATGTTTTTACAGATTAAAAATGTATGCAGCAGAGAGGGTTCGGGTGATCCTGGCACAGTCAGGCTGGTAAGGCTCATCATCAGCTCAGGGCCCTTGCCCCCTCTACACGCAGCCCAGACAGCGAATGGGACTTCTCCCAGGAAACGCTGCCTAATCGAACCCACCAAGAACTTTCCGGAGAATATGGAGGCTCCCCAACACTGCAGCCTTCTGCATTACCCAGAGTGTCAGAAGGGCTGTGCTGGTGGAAAACCCGGGCACTCTCCTGATCTGCGCCAAGAGATCAGGAGGTACCAAACTCAAGGGCACCGAGAACAATGGGGAGCCTGACGACAGTGTACTTGGGATGCAAGCGAGACATTTCAAAGGCGAGGTCCGCATATTTATCAAGCTTTTCCTGAATCTTGCCAATCACATTGTTGTCAAAGGGACAGAAAATTCAACGATATAAATAAATTCATTGGCTTTATCAAAAAGGACAAGATCAGGTTTGTTGACAGACAGGAATTCTTGAGCAATAATAGACTTACAAATCAGCAAAACATGTACCCGTGAAATAGTCGTGCAAAAAGGTGCTGTACTGATGGAGCAAAATGGTAACATTAAAGTCAGTTTTGGACAGTGAAGATGTGTTCAGTAACGAGCATGACCACCATGATCACAAATGCAAGCTTCTACACGTCTTTGCATTGACCAAATGAGCCTTTAAAGTTGCTGTTGTGGAATGTTCCGCCATTCTCTCTGTATCGCCTGCTCAAGGGGAACATGGAGACCGTAAACACGACTTCCAATAATGCCCCAAGCATGTTCAAATGGATTAAGATCAGGTGACCTTGCAGGCCAGTCCATATGTGCGATGTTGTTGATCTAAACAACATCAATAACAACCCTTTCTCAGGCATTATCATCCATAGACGGGCATTAACATCCATAAAATTGGAGTTAGGAACTGCTTGTTGTAACAGAGGAATGATTACAGGTAGGTTCACACCGATCAGGGTGCATGTGTGTAGAGTGGAGCACATTCATGCCCCACCTTTTGTCTGTTGTTTCTGAGGGTGGTTGTGTTCGGGTGATGTTGTCAATGTTATCGGATAAATCAATTTGACAGTCACTAAAGGTTATGTATTCTTTGAATATTTACCTTTCAGTAACATGTCGACAAAAATCGCTATCGAGATTGATAAAGATATTACACTGAAAATACGTGTTGCTAACTTTTTTGTAAGGAGTATATATATGGCGGCGGCCTGTAAATAATCACTGGACCAGACAATCCATCAACACTCAACAGCATGAGCATCTATCTACGCAACTAGGATACGATGACATGTGTCAACCAAGTCAGCGAGCCTGACCACCTGATAATAATAATAATAATAAATGGATATTTCTTATGCGCCATGGTCCATCCAGAGGATGCTCAAAGCGCTACATATTAAAAGAGTCACTAGAGTTCAAGAGGAAGATATGACAATTAGCCAAAAATAACCGTGAGAATATTTCGCAGTTATAGGTTGTAGACATTTTTGAAGAGGAAGGTTTTGAGTCCCGATTTGAATGCTTCTAGGGATGGAGCATTTTTTTATGGGAGTAGGAAGACTGTTCCATAGGGTTGGTGCTGCAAATATGAATGACCTATGGCCAAAGTGTTTGAGACGAACTTGGGGAACTGAGAGAAGATGTTGATTCTGAGAGCGGAGAGAACGGGCAGGCATATATGTTGACAACATCTCAGAGAGGTATGGAGGAGCTAGGCCGTGTTTGCAGCGGAAAACAAGAGTGCAGATCTTGAAATGAATTCTTGCTTCAACCGGCAGCCAATGCAGACTCTGGAGGATTGGGGTTATGTGAGTCCATTTGGATGTTTTAGTGACAACTCTCGCGGCAGCTTTCCGTTAGTCGCCTCTTAAGACAAGCAAGGGCTGCTGAAGATCAATGCTAACCTGATCTTCAAGGTGGCTCCCTTAACAGGATTAATACTGAGTACGGCTTAACACAACAAACAACGGGATTATATTGTCAGTGTAAGGAACAGCATGCACTTACTTCATCCGCTTAACGATGTCGACGAGGATTTCCTTACAGAAGGTGCATGCCTGTGACTTCTCGTTCGGGAAGTCGTCTCGAGCCACGCCCTTTTTCAGCAGCTGCAGCGACTTCCTGAGATCGTCGACGGTGACGTTTTCCTCTAAATCATTGTGCTGTTCCATCAGTTCCTTCCAGTACTTGACACTCGTCTCCTTCGTGGAGGTGAAGACGTCATACTGCTTCAGGATCGACGACAGGGACATTGGTGTGGAGACCTGGAGGCGATATAAGTATCCTTCTGTAATAACAATAATTATCATCCAAAACTGTGTTCCACAGGAGATATTGCTTGTGTGAGATCAAACGACAGTAGATTTTGTACAATGCCTTGACAATGCTATGACGTCATCAACTGGCATGGCTGCACTACAAATCTAATGGCAGAACCGTGTTCAGAGATGTACATTTTTCATTGAAAACTAATGAAGAGTGAATTTTTATGATAAATAGAATCTCACCCGAGTGTCTTCTGATATCAAATAAACTCTGTCAAAAAAGAAACGCAACCCCTGTCCTCAGATATGAAAAATTCGTTTGAATGAAGTTATTGCTTCCAAACTAAATTTTATTCGAATGTATTGAAATGATACACGTAATTAATGAAGATTACCATCCAAACAACTGCATTTGTACGCATAAGTGTATTTTATTGCTTATTCCGTCACAACGCATGAAATGACCCTCATGGTGACTTCGCACAAAAAAAACACATGCAAATCATGAAAATGGCAGTTAATGTAGGGGTGTATAAAAGCCCATGTGCTTCCGTATTATATTCATTCATTTGTCGCCGAAAAGCTGTGTTAAAATGCCACGATTGAGTGCTGCCGACCGAAATATCGCCATTGGTCGTGTTCAGAAGCCGGAGAAAGTTTTGGAACTGTTGCACGGCACCTAAATGTTCACAAAACAACGATATCCCGACTTTGGAGCCGCTACAACAACTTCAATTTGACCAACGATCGCCCGAGAAGTGGAAGGCCAAGAATCACGACCCCCCTTCAAGATCGGTACATCCGGGTCCATCACCTGCGTAATCGGCATGCCCTACCAACCGTGACTGCCACACAAATACCAGGTTTGAGGAGAGTGTCAGCTCAAACGATTAGGAACTGTCTGAAAGAAGCGGGTTTATGTGCCTGTAGACCAGTTGTTGGACCTGTACTACGCCCCCTACATCGACGCCGACGACTCAGGTGGTGCAACAACGTAAGGATACGGACTTTACAAAATCTGGAGGCGAATCTGGTTTTCTGATGAATCACGTTTTCTTTTGCAACGTCACGACGGAAGACAGCGTCTGTATAGGAGACGTCATAAACGTTTTGCGCCCATCTGCGTCCGACAGGTGGACAGATTTGGCGGAGAAAGCGTCATGGTTTGGGGAACCATCTCATACAACCAGAAATCAGACTTGGTGATCGTTCCAGGGAACCTGACAGCCCAACGTTACATCAACCACGTGTTAGAGCTTCACCTTCTCCCGATTATTGACCAACAGACACAGATTTTTCAACGGGACAACGCCCGGCCTCATACTGCACGTGCAACAATGAACTTTCTGCAGAATTCCAACGTCAATGTCTTGCCATGACCCTCTAAATCACCAGACCTCAACCCTATTGAACACCTGTGGGATACTCTGGATCGACGCGTACGTCAACGTCAGCCGCCGCCACAGACGCTGCAACAGCTCGCCGTTGCACTGCAGGAGGAGTGGAGAGCCATTCCCCAGGAAAGAATCCGGCGTCTTATCCGTTCTTGTCCAAGGAGATGCCGTGCAGTGATTGCAGCGCGTGGTGCTCATACGAGATACTGAGAAAGACGCCCCCCCTGGTGACAAACTGGTGTCTGTGAGATGACTTTTGAAATGACAATTTTAAACATGCCCATCTGGGTTATTATTCTGCCAAATTTCAGACTTCTGTCTTAAATAATAAAAATGCCGTGTCGTCCTAAAACTTCAGATCAAAATCTCTAAAATACAGGGGTTGCGTTTCTTTTTTTGACAGAGTTTATATCAACCTTCGTTGACAAAAGTAAACATATCCTCGGCAAGGCTTTATCGGCTCATGGTGATATATTTGATATCAAAAGACACTCGGGTGAGATTCTCTATTTAAAGTGAGTGAGTGAGTTTAGTTTTACGCTGATTTTAACAATATTCCAGCAATATCACAGCTTTGGACACCAGAAATGGGCTCCACACATTGTACCCATGGGGAATCAATCTCTATTTATATGTAATGATAATGAAGTGAAACCAATTTATGTTTATGAAGTGAAAACATGTAATGATAATGTGATGGAAAGTTGTAGTGACAATATAGTGAAAACAATAAATAGCAATATAGTGAATGCAGGTGGTAATAATGTAATGAATAATTGTAATGACAACATACAATGACAGGCAGTACTGATCTAGTGGACACATGTAATGATAAAGGTAGTGGAAATGTGTAACTATCTCTACTATCACTGTTAGTGAGAATAGTTTTACGCCGCCTTTAGCAGTATTCCTAGAAATATCACGGCGGGGAACACAGAAATACGCTTCACACATGGTACCAATATGGGGAATCGAACCTGGGTCTTCAGCGTGACAACGCTTTAACCACTAGGCTACATCCACCCCCACCCCACCCCACCCCACCCATCCTACCCTTCCCCACACGCACACCCGATATTAGGAGCCGTGCCCCAATGGGGTACGATCGCACGCAATCAGCCAGTTTAATCAAACATGTATTTATCATAACTTCGATTCATTGAGAAACAGTCCGAATAGATAAGCTGTCACTAAAACCATTGTCAAATTTCCTCCCGTTTATTTTAATATTAAGTCTGCTAGTTCTACACTCATGTATTCAATCAAATCAACGTACAATTGTCGTCACAAACTGGGGCTTCATCCCTTAACAACAGGAATGGAGACAAACCGCATGTTGATGTTAAACCCGTGATGTTTCTCGCGTATGTTGTAACGTATATATAGGTCAACTCAGACAAGAAATAAGACACCGTGTGACATACATCCAATCAATACAACACAACAACGGAAGATATATACAACATAGCATTCTCCAACTCACCCGTATTCTTATAACTCGCTATTAGGGGTAGTCTACCCAGTCGCCACAATCATGTACACCCGTGTGTGTTGGTCTTGCTAGTTTGTTGACACGGTCCAGTGGTGTATGTCTAAGAATGACATGACAGTATAGTGCATTCATAAATGTGAAAAGCGTATTCATGGTGAGGGCAGTGCCATGCTTATTAATAGCCCGGAACGGGATTTTTAAATGGCTAATTGTCTCAGTTGAAGCCACGTGGAGCGCGAAGCACCATATTTAATATGAACAGGAAACAATGCGATTATTCAGCTACGAGGACGCTGTTGCAGCAGTAAACGTTGTAATGTCGCGTTTCTGTTGCGCAAGGTGGTGTTTACTGACCGCAGCGAGACCTGAACAGCGCTGTTTTTGCGTAGGCGTTGTTTAGGTCTGTTGATGTGTCTTAGCAACGGTCAACAAAGAGATCAATGGAAGCTGCTCCAGTTTTGTTTGTCGTTTGAACGCAGGACTTTATCGTTCACAGTTCGGGCATGTTGCATGAGTATGAAGTAATAGCGTTAGTCGGAAGGGTGAATCGGTTTCCACATTATTTTGTCCGTTAAGGTTGGGATTTGACCGACCAGTTCTGAGAAACAAACAATATTGGAAATCGTTAACATCTTCGATTCCTGGTAATATTTTAACGAAGAGCACTTCTAATGACGGAGGGATCAGACAGACACAGTTGCGCCCCTTTGTCGTACTAGAATGCGCTAATCCAGATCCACTTTTGTAGTGGATGATAAAACAGTTCATTTTTAAAAATATAAATCAATTCCAAACACGATTTCGAAAAAAAAAATTTTTCCGGGCTATTTTCAAACAACACATTTAGCAAAAGATTGAATAATATGTGTTCAATCATTTAAGAAGGTAAATGTTAGTCTAGAAGTAAGACATTAGGTGTAAATGCAACGATATGGTCACAAAATGTGAAAGTAACGTTAGAAAAATAGACCTGCATATAATGAGCACGAATATTTAGGGACTGTTTTTTTTAAATTGTGTGCTGAACATGCCCAAACTATCCATGATCCCTTACTTCTTTTGTTCAGAACAGAATAAAACTACAACTTTACATATATGTGAACCTTGCGTCACCGCCAGGCTTTGGTTCTCGCGTATTTCAGACGTGGCAACAGCGTTTAAACGATACTAAACATGGCGAGCTTAGTGATAACTCTGGGTCGTCAGTCATGTCCCTGCCATACCATAGAGGAACAATTACATACCATAGAGGGACAGTTACATACCATAGAGGAACAATTACATACCATAGAGGGACAATTGCATACAATAGAGGAACAATTGCATACCATAGAAATACATACCATAGAGGGACAGTTACATACCATAGAGGGACAGTTACATACCATAGAGGAACAATTACATACCATAGAGGGACAATTGCATACAATAGAGGAACAATATTGCAGACCATAAAATTCCATACCATAGAAGGACAATAGCATACCATAGAGGGACAAAACAATTACATACCATAGAGGAAAAATTACATACCATAGAGGGACAATTACATACCATAGAGAACAATAACATACCATAGAGGAATAATTACATACCATAGAGGAACTATTACATAGAGGAACAATTACATACCATAAAGGGAAAATTACATACCATAGAGGGACTATTACAAAACCAAAGAGGAATAATTACATACCATAGAGGGACAATTACATACCATAGAGGAACACTTACATACCATACAGGAACTATTACATACCATAGAGGGACAATTACAAACCATAGAGGAATAATTACATACCATAGAGGGACCATTACATACAGGAACAATAACATACCATAGAGGAACAATTACATACAGGAACACTTACATACCATAGAGGGACAATTACATACAGGAACAATAACATCTCATAGAGGAACAATTACATACCATAGAGGGACCATTACATACAGGAACAATAACATACCATAGAGGGACAATTACATACAGGAACAATTACATACCATAGAGGGACCATTACATACAGGAACAATTACATACCATAGAGGAACAATTACAAACCATAGAGGAACAATGACATACCATTGAGGGACAATTACATACAGGAACAATAACATACCATAGAGGGACAATTACATACCATAGAGGGACAATTACATACCATAGAGGAACAATAACATACCATAGAGGGACAATTACAAACCATAGAGGAATAATTACATACCATAGAGGAACAATTACATACCATACAGGGACAATTGCAAACCATAGAGGAATAATTACATACCATAGAGGGACAATTTCATACCATAGAGGGACAATTACATACCATAGAGAAACAATGACATACCATAGAGGGACAATTACAAACCATAGAGGGACAATTACATACCATAGAGGGACAGTTACAAACCATAGAGGAATAATTACATACCATAGAGGGACAATTGTATACCATAGAGGGACAATTACATACCATAGAGGGACAATTACATACCATAGAAGGACAATTACATACCATAGAGGGGCAATTACATACCATAGAGAAACAATGACATACCATAGAGGGACAATTACATACCATAGAGGGACAATTACATACCATAGAGGGACAGTTACAAACCATAGAGGAATAATTACATACCATAGAGGGACAATTGTATACCATAGAGGGACAATTACATACCATAGAGGAATAATTACATACCATAGAGGAACAATTACATACAGGAACAATAACATACCATAGAGGGACAATTACATACCATGGACTGACTGACTGAGTTTGGTTTTATGCCGCTTTTAGCAATATTCCAGCAACATCACGGCGGGGGACACCAGAAATGGGCTTCACACATTGTGCCCATGTGGGGATTCGAACCCGGTTCTTCGGCGTGACGAGCCAACGCTTTAACCACTAGGCTACCCCACCGCCCCACATACCATAGAGGGACAATCACAAACCATAGAGGAATAATTACATACCATAGAGGAACAATTACATACCATAGAGGGACAATTACATACCATAGAGGGACAATAACATACCATAGAGGGACAATTACAAACCATAGAGGAATAATTACATACCATAGAGGAACAATACCATACCATAGAGGAACAATTACATACCATAGAGGAACAATTACAAACCATAGAGGAACAATTCCATACCATAGAGGGACAATTACATACCATAGAAGAACAATTACATACAGGAACAATTACATACCATAGAGGAACAATTACATACAGGAACAATTACATACCATAGAGGAACAATTACATACAGGAACAATAACATACCATAGAGGGACAATTACATACCATAGAGGAACAATTACATACCATAGAGGAACAATTACACAGTAGTCTGATATACTTTTTTAAATCCCTTCTTGTAGTTTCTGCGCAACGTTGAGATAACTATCCCGAACAAAATGTCAGGGGTCATGGATATTTTCAGGACATGTTTATGACAATTTTGTTTAGTCTTCCCAACCTAAACAAATACCCCCAAATATTCATTCATCCGTAACATGTTTCGTTTAGTATGGTGCATCGTGGCACTGTTAAAGCCATCAGGATTTGCATCATTTAAATACTCTCCTTCAGGTCCATTTTTAATCATATTTAAACACTTTGATAGATACCGATACATTTTTGCTGTTCAACACGGAATCAACAATTTATTCGAACTATTAAACAAATGTGCCCATCTACAGATCATATTTGAAGGTAATTTCTTAAAATCGTGGTCAGTCAATGTCCTCTCCACTTTAATAATCGTCATGGTATCACATTTGTGTCAATAACTGGCTTGCCCGGTACAGACTCGACTATTTATAGGCCCCTGTCATATAGCATGATTATTGCTTAGTGCGACGTTAAACAATAAACAAACAAATAAACAAACAACACTCATTATCGTATTTCCCAATGGGAGATAACAACCCATATTGAACACGTTGCACGTTTGGGGCGCAAATAGGCTTCTTATTGGCCCACGTCACCCTAAAACTATACAACCAGCCAACCAGCCACGTTGCGCATTGAAACACGACCACCTGGGTTATACGGAAATGTTTGAGTCTCCCGAGCCCATGTGAAGGAAACTCAATAATGACATTCCACAGGGAGATTCGCAACCAAAGAATTCCAACTTTAGAAGAACAGTTAGTCAACAACATTGATATGCATCAACTTACACAAAACGATCCCTGTGGTATGATCGCAACTCACATATTTTAACAGAAACTTAGCATATTCTTTCAACAAAACAGTCACGTTCGTCAAGTTTTAGTTAAACCTTGGTAATGCGGAAAACCTCGGTAAACCAGTCATGTAACCAGCTGAAATATCACCAAGATATCTGTCACAAACTCTTGGTGAAGTTCAAGCAATCATGTTGATGTTTGTTGCTGAAGTAGCCAGCTGAAATATCACCAAGATATCTGTCACAGACTCTTGGTGAAGTTCCAGCAATCATGTTGCTGTTTGTTGCTGAAGTAGCCAGCTGAAACATTACCAAGGTATCTGTCACAGACTGTTGTTGAAGTTCCAGCAATCATGTTGCTATTTGTTGCTGAAGTAACCAGCTGAAATATCACCAAGATATCTGTAACAGACTCTTGGTGAAGTTCCAGCAATCATGTTGCTGTTTGTTGCTGAAGCAGCCAGCTGAAATATCACCAAGATATCTGTAACAGACTAATGGTGACGTTTCTGCAATGTTGTTGACACTTTCCGCTATTTCTTACGAGGGGGGGACCACATGCTGATAGAACAGCCAGGTAATCAATAAGCAATATAGAACAAGTTTTATGGATAACAACTTCTTTATTTCGTGAGTGCTAACACATTTCGGGTTGTTGTTGTTGACGGTGGGTTGTTTTCTTCCGTTGGCATGGAGGAGGTTGTTGAGGCTGGAGGATGCTGAGAAGGTTGTGTCTATGCCTGCCTGTTGTTTCAGGAGTCGGCTGATTTAATGTGATGGTTTACCAATGTAGGGAATGGATATCTTGATGGGGGCTGATTCTGGTTTAGATCTTTTGGCAGGAGGTGAAAGCGTTGCTTCGATGGTTCTGTTATCCATAAAACTTGTTCTATATTGTACGTCTCAACTTCTAAAATGCCACT